AAGTAACGATAACACACGGGAAACGGGTACGACAGGTTTTAGAAAACGAAAGTATTTCTTTCGATGATGCAGATACCGAAGGAGTAATGACCCCACATAACGACGCACTGGTAATATCTTTACTTGTATATGATACTAATGTAAAACGAGTTTTGATTGATCCAGGAAGTTCCGTGAATATTATACTATTAAGGGTATTACGTGAAATGCAAGTTGAAGACAAAATGATACCTAAGGCGCATACCCTATCCGTGTTCGACAATTCAAGTGTGGTAACAAAAGAAGAGGTAATTCTAACAACTTTTGCTTTAGGTGTTGTTAAAGAAACTAAATTTCAGGTAGTAGATATGGAAATGGCTTACAATATGATCATGGGGAGACCTTGGATCCATAACATGGATGCTATCCCATCAACTCTACATCAAGTTATTAAATTCCCATCACCGTGGGGAATTTTCCAAATTCGTGGGGATCAGCAGACAGCCAGGAGTATCAACGCTGTAACAGATACGAGCACCGTAAATAAAGAAAAATAGCAATTACAGGAAAAAGTTGAAGGTATCAAGGATCAAACCTCAACCGAACAAGAAAAGACAGATTTAGACTTGAGACCTGATACAATTCAGGAACCTGAAGAGAATGAAAATATCAAAACAACAATTGAAGAGCTCGAGGCTGTGATATTATTTGAGCAATGGCCTGAACGGAAGGTTTATGTTGGAGCCAATTTAAGCTCAGACATGCGAGATATGTTGATTGAATGTTTAAAAGCTAACGTGGATTGTTTTGCTTGGTTCCATGCTGATATGACAGGGATACCACCGGATGTGATGACTCACAAACTAAATGAAGACCCATCCTTCACACCAGTAAAGCAAAAGAAAAGAAAGCAAGGAGCTTTCAAAATTCAGGTGATTCAAGATGAGGTCCAAAAGCTATTAAAAATTGGGTCAATACGCGAGGTAAAGTATCCTAATTGGTTAGCAAACACAGTTGTTGTACCTAAGAAAAATGGTAAGTGGCGGATTTGCGTGGATTATACAGATCTTAACAAAGCCTGCCCAAAAGATTCTTTCCCTTTACCGCATATAGATCAGTTAATTGATGCAACTGCAGGACATGAACTTTTGAGTTTTTTAGATGCATATTCGGGGTACAACCAAATTAAAATGGACCCCAGTGACGAAGAAAAAACTTCTTTCATCACAGACAGGGGGACTTACTGTTATAAAGTAATGCCCTTTGGTCTCAAAAATGCTGGAGCAACCTATCAAAGGTTGGTCACCAAAATGTTCCAAGAACATTTAGGAAAAACCATGGAGGTATATATAGACGATATGCTCGTCAAAACCCAGCATTCTCATGATCATATTTCTCATTTATCTGTTACATTTGAAATTTTACGAAAATTTAATATGAAACTCAATCCAGAAAAATGTGCATTTGGGGTTGCCTCAGGCAAATTTTTGGGTTTTCTCGTTTCTAACCGTGGTATTGAGGTAAATCCTTCTCAGATCAAAGCAATAGAGGAGATCCCTGATATCCTTACGAGTAAAAAAGAAGTCCAAAGGCTAACGGGAAGAATTGCAGCCTTGGGGAGATTTATTCCCAAATCTTCAGAAAAATGCTTTAAATTTTTCTCCGCACTCAAAAAGCAAGATCATTTTGAATGGAACGAAGATTGCCAACAAGCCCTTAGAAATTTAAAAGCTTACTTGTCAAATCCACCATTATTGGCAAAACCAAAAGAAGGAGAAAAGCTACTCATCTATTTGGTCGTGTCTGAAGTTGCGGTAAGTGCTGTTTTAGTCCGTGAGGACCAAGGTAAACAATCTCCTATCTATTATGTAAGCAAGTCTTTATTAGATGCTGAAACACGATATCCACAACTAGAAAAATTAGCATTAGCTTTGATCATGGCATCTAGAAAATTAAGACCTTATTTTCAATGTCATCCCATTGTTGTAGTTACTGCTTTTCCATTACGAAACATTTTGCATAAACATGAATTGTCAGGGAGGTTAGCAAAATGGGCTATAGAATTAAGTGAATACGAAATCATTTATCAACCTAGGACTGCTATAAAATCTCAAGTATTAGCCGATTTCGTAGCTGATTTTAGCCAGGGGATGCATTTAGAAGCAGAAAAAGAATTACAAGTTTTTAATGGTGCAAACCCGGGGACTTGGATTTTATTCACTGATGGTTCGTCTAATGTAAAAGGAGCAGGCCTAGGGATAGTTCTCATACCACCTACGGGTGAGACTATTAGACAGGCTATAAAATGTCATTCTATAACTAACAATGAAGCAGAGTATGAGGCTGTAATTGCAGGTCTAGAATTGGCACGAGAACTCGGCATAACACAGATTATAATCAAGAGTGATTCTCAACTCGTGGTCAATCAAATGTTGGGGACTTATACAGCCAGGGAGACACGAATGCAAGAATATCTCGAAAAGGTACGGGAACTAATAAAGCAATTCCAAACTTGGAAAGTAATGCAGATCCCAAGAGATGAGAATGTGGAGGCAGATGCTTTAGCTAATCTCGCATCTGCAGCAGACGTAGCAAACGACGCAAATGCTTCAGTCGTACATTTATTTCATTCCGTTCTCGAACCTGATAAGAACGAGGTAAATTTTAATCATTTAACATGGGATTGGAGAAACGAAATTATTGCTTTTTTACAGCGCGGAACCGTGCCTGCTGACAAAAGAAAAGCTTATGCACTTCGCAAAAAAGCTGCTCGTTACTGTTTACATCAAGGAAATCTTTATCGAAAGATGTTCGGTGGGCCATTAGCAAGGTGTCTCGGACCTTCCCAAACAGAATATGTGATGAGAGAAGTACATGAAGGACATTGTGGAAATCACGCAGGAGGAAGGTCGCTGGTAAAAACGCTGATTCGAGCAGGGTATTATTGGCCTAAAATGGAAGAAGAAGCAAACGGTTTCGTGTCCAAGTGTGATAAATGTCAAAGATACGGCAATAATATGCATAGACCAGCTGAGCTATTGCACCCTGTTATAGCCCCGTGGCCCTTTATGAAATGGGGAATGGATATCGTAGGTCCATTGCCACAAGCAAAAGGTCAGGTGAAATTTCTACTTGTACTTACAGATTATTTTACTAAATGGGTAGAAGCAGGAGCATTTAAACAGGTACGAGAGAAGGAAGTTAAAGACTTCATTTGGAGAAATATAATATGTCGTTTTGGAGCACCAAAGGAAATCGTGTGTGACAACGGTCCGCAATTCATAGGAGCTCAAATCACTGAATTTTTTCAAAGTTGGCAAATTAAAAGGATAACATCTACACCATACCATCCAGTGGGTAATGGACAAGCGGAATCCACAAACAGGGTCATTATCAACAACTTGAAGAAAAGGTTACAGGATTCAAAAGGTAATTGGCCTGAGGTATTACCTGGAGTATTATGGGCTTATCGTACAACGACAAAAACAAGCACGGGAGAAACACCCTTTTCAATGGTTTATGGTGCGGAGGCTTTAATTCCAGTTGAAATAGGAGAACCGAGCACACGGTACGTTCAAGCAATGGAGGAATCAAATGATGAAGAGATGCGGGTGAATCTTGATTTGCTCGAAGGAAGAAGAGAAGCTGCATTAATAAGGATGGCAGCACAAAAGCAAGTAATTGAACGGTATTATAACAGGAAAGCACGCCTCAGATTCTTTAAAATTGGGGACTTCGTGCTTAAAAAGGTGTTCCAATCTACAAAAGCTGCTAATTCAGGAAAGCTAAGTCCAACATGGGAAGGACCCTACAGAGTTCGTGACATTGCGGGAAAAGGAGCATACGAGTTGGAGACAATGGATGGCAAGGTTCTACCCTCGCATTGGAATGCTATCCACCTAAAGCGATATTATTTCTAAGAAAGTACCTACAATCAGGTATCGTTGTATTAGAATTTTTCTTTGAATTGTTAAAATTTTACTGACGATTTTAGATGCTAGGCAAAAACCCTAACTCGTGCCAAATGATGAGTCACGACCTGCACGGCAAAATGGAATATTCTAAAATTCCCAGCCGAGGGTTACAAATTAACCTGATGGAAATACACACGGGTTAGGCAGTCTTCATCTTTAATCGCACCTCCGAGTCCCGTATGTTTTTCTGTTTTCAGGAAAAAAGGACCAAATTGTGAGAAACAAACAAGTGCTCGAGGCTTCATACTTCAGCGCTCAAACACTTGGGGGACTGCATATTGTACACAAATACGTGCGGTAAGACGGAGACGTAAATTGAAACAAGTATCGAGCAGAAGTTACGGAACCTCAGCATTCATCATTGTGTTCTTTCCTATCAAAACAAAGGAAGATGCAAAACATTCATCGTAGTGTTCTTTCCCATAAGAACAACGGAATCACCTCTCAAACTTTTCATAATACATTAAGATAGGGTCATGACTATGTATTAAAATAGGTTGTAAGGAAAAACCTTGTTGAATAGTATTTACTTTATAAAAATCCGTTGCAAGAAAAACAGTTACGAGAAAGTTATAGATGTATCTCAATACATGTAATATTCAAAAGCTTGTCCAAGTTCATGAATAAAAACTTGTCAAAGTTGTTTCAAACAAAACATGTGTGTTCCTATTTCTTTCATCGTATTATAATACCATTATGAAGTTGAGACGTCTTCTTCATTAAATGTCGATATATAAAAGGGCCCTCATTTATAAAACTCATGTTAATAAGTCATGAGGAGAATCATAAAGTATTTTCAAAGGATAAAAATGCTAAATTATTCTATAAGTCCTAAGTAGATAAGGAAAAGGCAAGAATAGAGCACATTGAAGTACTAACAAACTTCTTGATATAATTAAAAAGACTAAGTAAGAACTTAGTCAACAAAAAGTTTATACAAGTTCCCCATTATGATAACTGGGGACTTTCACCAAAAAATCCCTTAAAAAAATAACTAAGGGATAAAACCATCATCCAACAAAGAAAGTAAAAACAACGTCTGGAAATTTAACTAGTCACTGAAGGGGTTGGCACATCAGAAGTTGCAATATTAATTTCACTTTCAGAAATAGCCACAGGCACGGTGACAACTTCTGAAGAAGAAGCAATAGGAGCGGTTTTAGCTGGGCTTGAAGTGTTAGGTTCAACGAGGGGAGCAAGAGTCACGGAAGTTTCAGCTTCCATAGACTGAGTCGTAGAAATTTCACCCTCGGAAGCTGGAATTGTAACATCTTCAACTTCAACTGCCACAACAACGACTTCGTCATTTACAGGTTCCTTAGCCACAGGAGCTTCAATTGTCGGAGAAGTAAAGTCAAATGATTGTTGGGTTCTTTCAATGGTTTCTAAAACTTTGGCCAACTCTGTGTCTAAGTCAAAGTTTTCTTGACTGGCCTCCATTAAAGCATCATGACGAGAGTTTAAGAAAGCCCAACTCACCTCTAAATCAAACTTCTCCTCAAGAAGTCCGTACTCCCTTTCCCACATAGCAAGATCATTCTTTAACACTTGATGTTCAGCTAAATGAGAATCAAGGGAAGCTTCAAGGGAGGCATGGGAACTTTCTAAGGCATGTAATTTGTCATAGGAGATCTTTAAATCAGCTTGAACTTGAGTCAAGTTCTGCACTAATTCTCCTGCATATTCTTCTTTCTTGTCCAAGAGTGCCTTAAGTTCTCTGATTTCTTCACTTGACTTTGATAATTGTTCTGAAAAGCAACATTCAAGGCGCTCCTTGTCTTTTTCAAATTGACTTGAAGAAGCTTTGGCAACTGCTAGCTCAGAAGTCAAACTTCGCTTTTGTTGCTCCAAGTGATTTCTACTCTCTTGCAATTCTTCTATGGTTCCCTGAGCATTCTCAAAATGCTCTTTCCAATTATCTGCTTCTAGCTGGGCTCTCTTGGCTATTTCCTCAGCCTCGTGGATAGACTTTTCAAACTCACGAGTTTTCTTTTCCAGAAGGGAAATTCTTCCCATCAATTCTGTACCAATGAGGTTAGCCTACAGTGACAACTCATAGAAATAAGAATTTAGAGATAAAAAAAATCTTGTTAGTAAGTAGAGAAAAAAAATACCTTCAAAGTAGAATGAACTATGTCATTCATCAGAGTTAAGCAACTGTGACTTCTCATCTTGTTCTTCTCAATATCTCCAATCAAAGGCCTAAGCCAGGCATCTGCTCCACCAGACTTCTTTAAAAGACTGTTATTAGCAGGAACTTCAAGTGTAATGCTCATCATAGCCAAGCTTCTGCTACTGAAACCCTCCTCTGCATGTTGAACAGAGGGAGGGGGAGCTATAGAAGGAGGAACGGTAGAAGAAGTGAAAATAACAAGAGTCAAAGGACTCGAAGCAGGTAAGGAAGCAGAGACAGGCAAGGGAGCGGAAATAGATAAGGGAGCAGGAACAGATAGAATGGGCAAGGAAGCACTTGAAACCAACAGAGGAATAGAAGGAATGGGAACAGAGGAAGAAAAAGGAACTTCATCTAAAACTGGACCTAGTTCTCCACTTTCAAAACCACCAACAAAGAGGAGTTGAATAGACTCATTGGTGTCTCTCGGAGTGGTTTCATCATCATAAGGAATGCGAACAGGTTCGGTAAGAGAGGCACGGAGAGGGGTAACTTCAGATTCATCCTAGAAAACGATGCGTCTCCTAACTCTTGGTCTAGATATTAAAGAGGTGTCTTCATCTTCATCATTCTCAGAATCCTCTTCTACAACTTTCCTCTTTGATAGCGTAGCTTGAGTTCTCTCCAAAGAGAGTGAAGTACCAGAAGAGGCTCGAAGGGAAATAGCTACTTCAGCTGTCATTCCTCGAATAACAAATCCTGACAAAAAGAAGGATGAAAAAGTTAGAAACAAGAAGGGACTTAACATACAAAAAAGCATAAAGAGATACATACCATGAGTTTTCACTTTCCAACCATGTAAATTGGAAATGGATTTCCAAGTTCTTGCCTCCATAGGCACGGCTTTCAAGATTGAATCTACCTAACCACGGAAATTAGGAACGGGTTCCACATCTCCCATAGTTGCTATAGAAAAGCAAAAAGAGACGAAATTAGAAAAGAAATTGAAATTTTTAATGATAGGAACGGTAAGTAAAAAAAACTTACGTGCAAAGTTCCACTTCTCAGGGAAGGGGATATTTGTTTCACCCACCAAATCAACTATGCGAACAGCAACATAACGAGTGTACCACCCACGATCCTTGTCATCTTCAGGGCTTACCAAGACCCTTTTACTTTTTGAAGTTAAAGTAAAAACCCCATAGTGGAATAATTTGGGGTGGTAAAGATGAATAAGGTGGGTAAAGGTAAAGCTAACATTGGCCTTTACAGAAAAATATCTCAAACAAGCCACTGCTCTCCATACAAGGGGGCCAATTTGTCCCAAACAAATTCTGAAAAAGCGACAGAAATCAAATATAACTGGGTCAATAGCAGGAATAAATCCCAAAGTGAAGGGATAAGTATAAACAAAAGAAAATCCAATCCTAAAAGAAGATATTCTTTGGTTTGGATTAGGGATCACTATACGAAGATCACTTCTCCAGTTGCAATCTTTTCGAACAATAGAAATCAAAGGTTCAGTGATTAGAGAAGGAAAAGTGTCAGCTTTCTCTAAATTAACAACTTGATCACGAAGAGATTTCCTATCATTCTCAAAGGACAAGTCATTGGGTACTATTTCCTCAACTAAAGGCTCTTGAAGAGGCTCAGAAAGTTCTTTACCTTTAGAAGAGGGTTTCTTAGTGATAGAACCTCTAGAAATAGTGCTAAAACTAGAAGAAGGAGTGATGGAACCAGAGGAACCACCACGAACGGATCCTAAGCTACGAAGCCTGCCATCTCTACCCCTTCTAGTCTAACAGGGGCGTTGGGGAAGCTATCAAGAATTGGGATTCTCTTAGGGTTAGGATTCGGTGATGCCATTGCAGAGAAAGGATGAACTAAAGGAGAAAGGAACAAAAGTAAAGAGTAAAGTATCTGTTAAGGGTTTATGAAGAAGAAGACAAAGGAAAAAAGGTTAAATATGTGTATAATAGCAACCGTCAAACAAAGAAGTGTAATGATGGAAAGCCTATAATAAAGGCAACTATCACTTCGTAAATAGAGGGGTTAAAGAAGCCTTGGAAAAAGGCTGTAGAATTACATACATATCAGAAGGTAACACGTGTGCAGAGCATTAAATAGAAAAGACAACTGAAGCATCAGTACTGACATAGCATTGATTATGGCGAAAATTCCTTTTTCGTGAAGATCCACTTCCCAAATATTTAATTGATAAATAAATGGAAAGTGGGGGACCATCTATATTGGGGAAAAACTGAATCTAAATATTAAAGATGACGTGTCATGACACATGGACTGGTCAAAAGGTCAAAACGCAATAAATAGCCAAGAGGCACGGGAGACAACAAATATGAGGAGAAGAAAACAACATAGGTGTGAATCGTTACTCAAATAGGTACGAGTCTCGTACCTATTCGAGTCATTTAAAGACCGAAGATCGGAAGAAGTTGAAGATACGAATCTGATGACGTAAAAGAGTCTAAATACAACATTAAATATCAAATACGTTAGAGAATTTGAATTAAATAGAAATGATTGTGTAACGTTTCTTTTAATGTCATTTATTGCTCATAATTGCCTCATTAAGACAAAGGCATTACATCTTCTCCTAGAATCAACTATAAAAGGAGAAGGACTCAACATCTGTAGAGACAAGAAATATTATTGAGATTACACTGAAATACAAAATTACTTATTACTTTATTATTCTCAAAAGTCTTTTATTATTTTCGTCTCCAGATTATCAGTAACCCGAGTTTCTCTATATTTCTAAGCTCTTACCAAAGACTCAGATTTTTGGTTAAACAAGAATGACAATATTTCAGGTATATCCCTCCGTTCTCATCTCTAACCGAGTGAACCCCTCGTTGAACGTCCGCACTTCCTTGGGGTCTATGTTAGAACCGGACCCATCGTCGTCCACGACCACAGTCTTTCCTTTCCCCTTGGTGGACAAAGATATAACCTCCGCTACCCCAACCGCCCTTCCTCTATGGCGACCTCCACTACCTCTGACGGTTTCCCTTCCACGGCAACCTTTGACGGAAGAACCGTCTCCACAACTGAAGGATCTGCAGATTCCATGCCCAAAACAACATCACTCTCGGGTAGGGACACGACTGTAATCACACCGCCAACCTCCACTCTCCGCATTTTCAGTAGAGTCATTTCCTCTTTGCCCGGGGAAGACTCGTTCACTAGATGCAATGCTGGGAGGACCGGAGTCTCCATTGGTGGAGCAGCCCGATGGCTAGGCCCACTCAAAGCCGGAGTCAGTGAAGAAATATTCCTTACGGACTCAGTCATCATGGACTGCGACCCGATCGAGGCACCCGATTGGCGAATTGCGGGAATGGGAGCCTTCGCCTTTCTCAAAACTCTACGACCTAACACCAAAGGTAAACTGTATAAAAAAATATAAGAGAAAAGGGATTGGGATGTGGTCAAAATGGTCAAAGATCGGAATTTGAATTACCGGTCGAAGGCTTAGGTCCAAATTTCTTGTTGAAAGATGCCCAGTGGCGAATCCCTACTGTGTGGGGCAAGATCTGGGCCACCCAATCACTAATATCGGCAACCAATGAAGGAGGGTGTTTCTCGGCCACACGAAAAGAAAAAAGAACGATTAAGCCGCAAAACCAAAAAGAAAGGGGGAAAGGAATGTACTTCAATCAACAAAAATACTTACGGGCAAAGTTCCACTGCTCAGGAAATCTACTGGGACTCGCCACCACATGCTCGGTTTTGATAAAAAAGAAGTTGAACCAAAACTGACGATTTGCCTTATCGTCCATTCCCGCCACTAGCCCATTGGTTCCACTGTGGCAAAGGTGTATCGTCGTTCCACTATGGAAGCTTGGCGCGAAGAGATGTAACAAATGGCGAATAGAGATTTCACAGCCGGCCAGCTCCACAAAGTTATCAGCATAAGGAAAAGCTTGTAAATATAAGGGGAGAGTTGAGCCGGGCAGATGCCGTAGTAACGGCAGAATTCTTTCGCCAAAGGAGGAAGAGGGAGAGAGTAACCCACTTGGAATGGGTATGCGTAAAACGCGCAATACTGGGGCCGATGAACCTGGATTACGACGTTCCCAGCTGGAACTAGTTCGACATGAGCATAGATGTTGTATTTGGCCCTGAGTGCGGCTATATGTTTTGCTTCCATCTCGGACTTCACATGCTCGGGTTCATGCACAAGTTCCTTCGAAAAATCTGACCTGGAGCCTGGGTTACGAGGAATGATCTCTTCCACAGTAGGAAGCTTTCAACCTCCATTATAATGGCCTCCTCTTTGCCAGAAGGCATGGCCATTGACAACAGAGTTGGGTCTGAGATCATCTCAGGGTTAGGAGTTACGCTAGTCATCTTTTGTTAATATGTATACGGCGGAGCCGAGAGTGTAGAAGAAATGGTGATGAGGGAAGTTGTAGGAAAAATGAATACAAGGAGAAGGAGAAGAAGCCATGGGCAAGATCGAAAAATCAGAGAAGGTTAAAAAATTCTCCAAAAGTTCTCCCCCTTCTTATTTATACAAAATCACAGCGCTCAAATCGGTGCAATCAACCGTCAAAATAGAACTAGAATCAAAACGATAGAGGCACAAGGAACGAGGCAATGCATCGGGGAAGATGAATAATAATGACGCATACAGCTGTGACGTCATCCTAAACCTGCCTCACTAACTGTTGCTCATGGAGCGACTCATCACCACCTCGAAAACGGTCATCATTACTCGACCTCCACGTCCAAATTTCTCAAGAATTGATAGATGAAGTGCACTCATTGAGGTCAACCAAAAGACGACCTCAATAAGCGGAGGAAATAACTGTATGGGTCAAAATTTGGCTAATGAAATCGGCATGAAGAGATGACTAAGTTTGAGAACTGTGTCCCATCATGAACGACTAGGCCGAGGTTGATCCGGGCTTAATAATATGGAGCTGCTAAATTTTTTCCCTCAGTTTCTGTTCTCCTTGCTTAACTAAAGAACTACCTTTCACTTTAAGTAGGACTCCAAGAGCTCTACCTTAGAATGAGTTAGATTTCCTGTGTTAACAAGATGGAATGTCGAGACGCTAAAGAGAGGGCTATGAGACTAGTGCAATTAGGTAATCGACCAAGTAATAGAGTAAGCTCCTAAGGCCGAGGGCGAGCAGCGGGAAAAGGAATTACGGCTAGTATAGCTTTGGAACTTTCAAAGAGAATATTCCATTGAATATTCTCTCTACTGTACTTTTTTAGAATTTTGGGAATATACCATATAAATAGTAGAAGAGAGAAGGAAAAAGTGTAATATTGATTCTGATAAGCACTCTAATGAAAAGTTGACTCCAGAAAGATATAGTCCAAAATATTACCTATCCATAAGAATTCAAGTTGTTCATTCCACCTTTCATTTCGCATCCGATCAGAGAAAATCTCATATATTGCAATACCCATTTGTATTATATCATTGCCAGATAAGAGAATCATCCACCTCATTCAACATTTGGGCGAACCATTCTCTCTATTTACACTTATTGTCATTTAATAGTTATTGCTTATTATTGTTTCGCCATTCATTCTAAACAGCATCATTTAATACCATTTGTATTAAATTGGCTCAAACAATTATTTTATATTATTCATATAAGTACGTGTTAAATCTAGAATTTATTATATTTAACTAGAATTTATCTATCATCTTTTATTTAATTGGTTTAACAAAAGGTCTCGTACTTTTTGGTCAAACATAAATCTGCAGGAATATTAAGACCAATATGTTGGCGTGGGATGATCAAGTATAGCATGTCTCAAAGTTTATGCCAAAAATTTCCAATATTGTATTCCTGTTTCTAATATGAATTGGATATTGAAAGTCTTGAAATGGATATGTTTACTTATTATTCT